AATTTGCACTTTTCGACATTAATTTTTAGACCGGCCTCATTTAATAAAGAAAACACCTGTCTTAAATCCTGTACATGTTTTGGTCGAGATTATCACTAGTAATAATGATATCGTCTAAATAGATAAATGTGGACTTTCCATGAACAGGTCTTAACACAATGTCCATGCATCGCTGAAATGTTGCCGGGGCCCCTGAAAGGCCAAACGGCATCCGCAAAAATGCATAAGTGCCAGACTTGGTTATAAAAGCAGTCTTAGGCACGTCCTCAGGCCTAACCCCTGTTTGAAAATAACCAGTCGTTAAGTCTAAAGTCGTCATAAATTTGGTTGATTTTATGTTCCTTAGAATTTCTTCAATGATCGGTAACGGATATACCGGATATTTAGTTATGGAGTTTAATTTACGGTAAATCATAGCGAATCTCCACCTTTTTTGGATGCGTCCAAAGGATAAGCCATTATTTTTCTTACATAAAACCACCGGGCTAGCATAACTACTTGAGATGGGCGTTATGATCTTTTTACGTAGCATATCGGTAATATGCCATTCTATAATTTTTTTTCCTTATTCTTATCATACCGGTATGGTTTTTGGCGAACTGGCAATTGCATCTCCGGTGTCAATACTATGGTTAGTAACCTGGAGTAAATCCTGGAATATCACTAAATAAGGAAGCAAATTCACTTACCACTTGGATTCTATCTTGCTCGTCATTAGGCAGGTGGTCGAGATTTAACCTTGGCGGTTCAACCTTTTCTACACGCACTGGTTTCATTCGTCAGCTTAAGAGACGCTTCATTAAAATCCAGTGTAGCTTGTGCGTCTGAAAGAAAAGTCTATCCCTAGTATTAAGTGTGCTTGCAAATTCTTTACTATAAAAAACATCACCTTACTTGTTCGTCCTTGATACGGACGTACAAGCGGTACTTTACCTATACACTTACATTGTTCTCCTTGCGCCGCTAATACTGTCGTATTATCCGCATTATATATGCGGTATTTGCGAAAATACTTTCCTAAAAAAGACTTCTGCCACACAGGAACACTGCGCGCCGGTATCCAGGAGTGCGGTGGCCGGGATATTATTCACCAAGACTTCAATCTTCGGAAGAGTCAAATTTTTTCACCATTACTGTATTTAACTTGTAGGAAGAGGGGTTTTCGTGGCCTTCGGATTTCCGCACCCTCTCGTCAGCAGAAATCCGTTTTAGTTTTAAATTATTTTTCTTTCCGTGCTTTCCTTCTTTTTTCCACTGGCCTTGAGACTTTTTTTCCTGGGTTGCTATTGAACTGTCGACGTTCGCCGGCTGTTTTTGAATGCTCGGGTTTCCTTGCCCACTGATTCGCTTTTTCTCCGTAGCCATGTGCTTGAGTTTGGCTGTAGTCTTGGCGTACCAAATTGGTTTCGCTGTTGATATTGGCGTCTTCTTTCGACGTCCGCCGTTCTTCTACTTTCAAACTGGATTGCTAGCTCAAATAACTTTTCCAGTGTAGTCGGATTTCTTAATTCAATAAAGTCTTGCACTTGGGGGCAGTAACCTCGGCAAAATCGCTTGAATTATTTCAGGATCCGGACGGTTTCCATACAAGAGTTTGAAAGACGTGAATTTTTCTTAAAATAAAGCTTGAGGGATTTTCGATTCTTTGCTGATATATACTGAAAAGTTCCGTTTCTAATTTCGCACGATCCCTTACAACAGGGAAGGCTTTTACTAGGGCAGTCTTGAAATTTCTCGTAAGTATAGGTGGGACTTCCTGCTTGACCCAAGAGACTTCTGCCTATACATTTGAACCAGTTAAGCGCTTGGCCCCTCAAAGCGCTGGTAGCTAAGGTAACTTTTTGAAACTCGTGCACGGGGTAGAGCATGAAGTGGTCATCCAATTTTTCCAAAAAACTGGTTACCGGTGAGTTTCCATTAAATGTTGCTTCTGGTTTCATCGAAGCGCGCATGGTCTGGACGATGTAACCAAATCCTTCCAGGGTGGCAGCTGGCATTTCTGGATTCTGAGCCGTTTCTGCAGGCAGCACAGGTTCTTCTTGAAACTCGGCCATGGTTATTCTTCTTCGTTGGGCGCCACTATCAGGGTCAATGTTCCTTCTAACCTTCTTCGGGAACATGCAAGGACCTGACTCGGAACAGAGAGCTTACTAAAGCTATGGTCAAAACTGTGGGAAGTAAACAGGATACACAAGAAGGGTATACAAAACCCTTTATTTTTCTCCATTTACAATGACTTCCGTACTTCGGAATACATCGACCCGCTACTTGGGGTCAAAACGTAAAAGTATAAAGATAAAACTAAACTCTAATTTAACTTTAGAATAATAAACGTGGAAGATTGGCCTTATATTAACAGGAAGCGTATGTAGTACAGAGAACTGTGAACACTACAATACGTTTTGAAATTTATCAAGAGGATTAAAACCTCTGGCCTGGAAGGCAACAAGCAACTGCGTAACTTCTAAGGTAAGCGGCCTGCTTCGACTCACTGCTTCCTCTCTCTCGCTTGGCAAAAAGCCACAACTTAAATACTTGGCGTTCGCCAGACAAACTTTGCATAAAAACCTTAACTCTTATAATTCTGGCCGGAAGTAGAAAATAAGAAGTGATAGTAAAGATTTAAAATAAAATAAACGTTAGTAAAACTTAAGATCCTTACAACCTGAAAAAGAGAAAGTACTAAACGAATACACTCCGCGTACCTAAGGTGAAAGTCAAATATACTGCATTGCACACGAACTTTACTTTCTCTTGCCAATATATATCTTGGCGCACGTTCGTTTCGTATGCCTGTCGAGTTTCATTATGCAAAATACCTAAATTTATGCTAACAGTTATTGCAAGCCCGAGATGACTCATTTAAAATGTGAAATGTTGGTACATTAATAACTGGTGCAAACCGCCAGAATTTTGATTGTAAACATGCAAACGTGCGTGTTTTGTATCGTACATACGCCAAATGCCAGTTTTGGTAGAGCCACGTCTGTTGCACTTGGTAGGTCAATACAGGGACGGGTAACGCTGGTTATGGATGACGCTGAAGTTGTCCTACAATGATATCCATACGTGTTCGTTTGGGAAAATTCTGGGAGGCCAAGACAACATGTCGACACTCTGTAGAGCATGTTGGTTACAACAGCTGAATGAGGGCAAGTGCTATGCTCTTGGAAAAGGTTTAATTACCAGATTGATGTATAAATTTGAACAGTTGGTGCGTGGGATAACCATGAGAGTGCTCCAACTGTCATACGAAATTGCTCCACGGATCATAACTCCAGCTTGTAGGTCCAGTATGTTTAGTCCGCAGACAGGTTAATTGTCGCCAAGCATCTGGCCTCTTTCTAACCAACACACGGCCATCACTGGCAACAAGGCAGAACATATTTCATCAGAAAACACAACAGATCTTCACTCCGTCCTCCAGTGAGCTCTAGCTTGACACCACTGACGTCGCAAACGGCAGTGGTCTGAAGTTAGCGGAATGCACTCCACAGGACGTCTGGCTCAGAGCTGTGCTTCAGGTAACCGATTTGTAAGAGTTCACTGTGTCAGTGTGGTGCCAAATGCAACTCGAAGTTTTACTGCAGAGGCAGTAAGATGGGCCACAGCTATACGCCGATCATGGCGGCCTTCCTTCTCAGTAGTGCCACATGTCCGACCGGAACCCGGTCCTCTTGAGCCAGTACCTCGCCCCTTGACCACTGTTGCCAACAATCATGCACAGTGGAAACATTTCTGACAAATCTTTCCGCAGTATCACGGAAAGAAAAACCACCTTCTCGTAACCCTATTATATGACTTCATTCAAACTCATTGAACTGTTCTTAATGTCTTCTTCGTCTTCTTAATGGCAAGGATAAATAACGTTCCTGAATTTTATAGCGTGTATTTAAAGCAAACTTGAGTTGCATGTTCATAGTGGCACTGTTTGCGTCACTGTTATGCACTTAGCGCGAAATTTGAATAGCCGTCATCATTCACATGTATAAACACACATACCAAATTTCGTTTATCTAGCACAACTCTTTCTTGGTGTTAGTTTTTTTTTTTTTTTTTTTTTTTTTTTTTTTTTCTGTCAGTGTATATCAAAATCATTTGCCAAATGTGTATCTATTCGGTAACATGATATCACTTATCATTATGTAGTTTATAAATATTAATATGAAAGCAATTATCTATTTGCAACCCTACTATTCTTTTTTTTTTCAGCATTGAGTCACTGCTTAACCACGATATATGCTTTATTGTATAAATAAGTAACATACTAATCATTTTATTCTATCACTTTGTAGAAATAAACTTTTGTTTCATTTTAGTTTAATATAACACCTTAGGGATCGCATTTTACTACAGTGATTCATATATAACAGAAAATTTAATTTTCTTCTAAACAAACCATTTTGAACAAAAATTACAGTCGCAATCTTATCTTCAAATATATATTCATACGCAGACTCGTGAAGGATTTATTGCTAGTGGTACGAATTGCAGCTATTCATTTTAAAAATATTATAACAGACTATAAATAATATGCTACGCGGATGCTTTCCTTTTAGCAATATTTCAACTTTTAGCAGTATATCTGAATCATTTCTAGTGTTTTGAATGGGCATAAATCGAGATCTTTATGTACTAATAGCTTCAATTATGTTAATTCATTTAAAAAAAATAAAAAATTTCAGTTATCCCGAACGATCTTTGAAATAATTCGATTTTAGTAATTAGATAACGTCTTCTAAATTTCTAAAATAATTTTAATGTTCATTGAATAATAAATTTTCTTATTCCTCACATTAAAAATTTTACGATATATAATACTGTGTAATTTAGTATGTAATTCAGCATTAATATCTTAAATTCAAAATTTGTGATTATTAAAAAATAACGTTTATCAAAAACTGCTTCTAAGATGATAACACTACTTAAATGCCTCTTAATAATTCAACAAATTAAAAAAATCTCTCGCTTTATTACATAACAAGAGCCACAATTTTTACCTTTCTCAACAAGTCGTTTTTCTAGCTGTCTTCTTGCAGGAACTTCTTTATTTAAGCATGTCTCGAAAATATTGTCGATATCGTCATCGCTGACAACATACGCATTGGCATCTTCTTGAATGCTTTCATTCTCGTCGCAGTTTGTACTCTTCGCTGATGATACTAACAAAATGCTAAAAAACACTAGAAGATATCTGAAAGAGAAAATAGTTTATATAATATTACCTACAGATTTTAGAAGGTTAAGAGCATACATATACTAAAGTTTTAGCATTTATCTTAACCTGTCGTTTCCTGCATTATTTTAAAAACATTTCTAGCTATTTAGAATATTTAGGTTCTGGCATTTCTTTACAGAGAACTAAATAGCTTTAAATGCAGGGGAAAAAACCAACTACCCAGTTTTGCTTCCTGATCCATTTACGTATAAATTCTTTCCGAAACATAAAGCAAAATTTCAAATGATGTAAGACAACATAAGTTTTCTGAAAAACTGAAGTGTAAAATTATTAGGCTTGTAATAAGTAATTAACTTTCATGAAGAAATTGGAAGACTATTCTTTTTAATTCCTTGTACGAAGTAAAAAGGAAGTATTGTAATCGCGAAAAGTTTCAGGCAGCATGTTTCAACGAAAACATCCATTTTGACCGCTATGGAATACAATTTAACGATGTTTTTGCGTGATATCTGCAATAAAAGACTCGTTTCCTCCAAAAAAAATTTAAAACTGCTTTAAAATGAATTCTAAAGAGTTTTCGTGGTATCTGTACGTACGTATGTATCTCGCAAAACTCAAAAACGAGTAGCCTCAGAATGTTGCAATTTTGTATATAGGACTGCTATAACATGTAGATGTGCACCTCGTATTTTGGTTGTAATCGACCGCACCAAACATATATAAATATATTTATATATATATCCACTCTGTTACCCGGCTCAGTGATCTCAGTTTCTTTACTCTTATATCTTTGTAAATCGTGCCTTTTTTGCCTTGAAAATGATTTAATTATGCTGTCCTTATCTTCCGGCTAAGGATTTTATGCCTTTAGGAAATCTGCAAGCAATATTTGTAGAATTATCAACAATTTAAAAACTGTTTAAGGGCGGTTAAACCTAATTTTTAAATAACATGGCGGACATGTTTGTTTACATTTGAAACAGCAGAATAGTGGATTTATTGCCAATCTAGAGAGACTAAGCTTCGCAACAACAAAGATAACGCCTACATTTATTATTGCAAATTAAATCATGCTTAATCCTTTCTGGAATTTTTTCGAGGAAATAAGTGTTTAACATTTACTTCGTGATTTTTAATATAGATATTTCGAGTTTTTATGTATTTTTGCCTTGTCGGGAAGTGTGAGCTGAATTAATTGAATGAAAAATACTGATTCGTCTGTGAAAAACTGTTTCCTTTTTTGTTTTTTGCTTAATTTCTTTTATACATCGTTCTAGATTTATTATAGTATTTGAATAGAACATGTGGCAACTATTAGATAATTCTTCAAATGATATAAATTTTGTGCATTCTGAGTTATAATATGTTTCCTTTTTTGTTTTGTTTGCTTAATTTCTTTTATACATCGTTCTAGATTTATTATAGTATTTGAATAGAACATGTGGCAACTATTAGATAATTCTTCAAATGATATAAATTTTGTGCATTCAGAGTTATAATATGAACAAAGTGTAACGCTGTTAAATGAACCTGGCGTCAGAGTGTCGCTATGGTAAACAAATAGAGTGAATTTTAAAGAGTGCATTTATTCTATTGTGGCTTATGCGCTATCGACGAAGTAGATTTAATTACTTCGTCGATAGCGCGTTTAAATTAATTCAATAAGTTTAAATGAAATGCAAGAAAAAATGCGTTTAATTTAATATTCCGTACAAGGAAGTCATGTGGTGTACACATCAGATTTTTTATTTTTAATAAAAATATTTATAAGGAGAAGAATTAACATTTGTCTCATTCTAAATATTATTAATGCAGAAAAATGCGTTATTACTCTGTAGCCAAAATATTAATTTACAGCAGTGAAAATGAGAAATCTGACTGCATGTAGGCTAATATTATAAATTTGAAATGAGATCATTTGATTGCTAAAAGAGCTTCAACGACTGTAACAAAGCCTGCATTAAAATGTGAACCAAACTGGATTGGATTATTTGATTGTGACCAAGCTCTTGAGGGCTATCTGCCTAAGGAGATCGATGCCCTCATGGAGGACGTTTTAAAAGAAACCGTCTCATATCCACGTTATACACGTAGATAACCAGGAAACCAACTATGCAGCCAGCCAATGTGTGAGAAGTCTCATTTTTGCTGGCAACAATATATATTTATTTTTTTCATTATTGATGTAAATTTATGCTCATCTGGATTACTGCTTTCAAGGATCTTCAAATCACTTTTGAAAAAATTTACCTGTTCCCTTAATTTTGAACTTTTAAACTATTGAATTGTAAAACTTCACTTTTTCACATTTCTTCATGAATGTTTTGACTCTGCAACTCCAAGAATTCTAATCATGAAAGTTCAGCATCAAGTATTGAACTAAAATCTCTTTCCATAGCGATTTTACCTGTTCGAAATTTAATGGTACAGATAGCGTTTTAATTGCAGAATTTGTTACGCCTATGTACAGCTCTTTCTGAGCACTTTTTATTATTTTTGTTTTTTCCACCTTCTTCCTTCTTCCCTAAATCTATCCACTATGATTTTGAATTTATGCAAGCTGACTGAAATTCCTAATCGTTGATTTTCTTCTTTCTCCTTTATGAATACAGCCAAACCTCGGTTCAGAAACTTGATTCTCTTCTTTCTCCTTTATGAATACAGCCAAACCTCGGTTCAGAAACTTGATTCTCTTCTTTCTCCTTTATGAATACAGCCAAACCTCGGTTCAGAAACTTAATTCTCTTCTAAATATAGTTCAACAACTGGAATGTTCTTACACGGAAACATATTTTCTCATACGAAATTCTGAAAAAGAATAAATCCATTCCTGGATTCTAGATGGTTACTTATAAAAGGGTCTTTCGTAAGAGAAAACTTGTGGAATTCATTTAATTAAAAACAGAAACACTATTAACAACTATACAATAATGTTGCATGTATACGAGTAACTGCTGGATTGAATGCGCACACAATCGATGATAGCTTGATAAATCACAATCGATGATTTATCTTACAAAAGAAACTCTTTACAGTTCTGATACTTTCCACAAAAGTACTTGTAAAGTACTTCTCAATATGACAGCGCACAATCAGTAGTTACTACTACAAACTACAAAGAAAGTTAAACACAACTCAATACAAAACGCATCTTAATAGCGAAGCTCACATGGGGATCTCTCAATACTGCGAATTTAAACTAAAAACCGAGAACTGACACTCTCTATAGTTTTTCCCCTAGACCTCAAAGAAATCTCTATTATCATCCATTTCTCGAAATTACCGGAAGGTATATACGATTAATGTTACACATAAGATGCTGTTACAGTTACATACAGCGATCAATTACACTTATTCACAAAATCAGCAAAGCTTTATAACAACCTTATGTTTGGCATACATAAGCAAAAACCCAATCGATTTCTATATCAAATAGACACATGTCCCTCTTTAGCAGGAGCAAATATATCTGAAAGCCTGGAAAGCAGCTGGTGCAACGGTGGTATTTACCTACGGCAGTAAAGCGAACGAGATCTGTTAACGCCATCTGTTAACAATAATAGCAATAAAATTTAAAAATTAAATGATCAAAATTTTAAAAGCGTTAGTAAGGACTGGATTCGAATTAAATTCATTAATTAAACAAGATAAATCTTTGTGAATGTGAAAACCTTCAAGAAAATCGAGACCACCAATTGAAGAAGCATCTTGAATAACTTTTGCAGTTAAAACTGTGATTAAATTTCCAGCTATAATACGCTGTAGTAGACTGTAGAAGACTATATCAAATAGACACAAGTCTATCTATAGAGTAATTATACAGGACTTGTTAAATTCGCGTTTTAAGCCATAAGATTCCTGTTCCATGATACCAAACTTTAACGCTCTTTCAGTTTGTTCTGTATATCTCAAACCACCCTGACACGATATGCTATAACATAAGCAAGAATTAAAATCAGAAATGGAATGTTTAAAAATCGAATCAAGGATTTTATTGATGGTAGAGAAAATGAATTGAAAACTGAACTTATTTTGAATCCGTGCAATTTTATAACTGTTAGAAGGACCAAATGGAAGCAGGACAGGGTTACTAAAGTTATTTCTAATAGTTGTTTCTAATAATAATTTCTAATTTAATTCTTTGATGATAAGCTGAAAATTGTTTAAAAGTTTTAACAATGTCCTAGAGAGAAAAGCCTTCGATCAATGGTAGGAAAAATCAATGGTAGGAACAAATAATTAGTTCATTAGAAGGCAAAAATTCTGAGAAACAAATTTTGAGAACGCGAAATATTTAACAGCAAAAAGAAGCTATTTTTTGCTTAGCCGAGTGACATGACTTAGCATGGAGCGGCAAATAAACGGAAAAGTGTTTCCTGTAAACAGTAGTGGTAAAATCACATTCGTTGAGAATTATAGGAATGTCAAGGAAGGGAAGGGTATTGTCAGATTCAGTTTCAAAAGTGAACTGGATAGCTGGATCAACCGAATTTATAAAAGATATAACTTAAGATGAATCTTCTTTACTACCATCAAAACGCGCGGAGTTGTCGTCTACGTAGTGAATCCGGAGGCAAAAAGACATTTTTTTCAAATAATTTGACTTCAAAATAGTGCATGCAAATGTCGGCAAGTACAGAATTGATAGAACTACCCATAGTTAATCCTTCAGTTTGTCGATAATATTCGTTTTGGAAAACAAAATGTGTTAGGCTCAAAGAGATTTAAATAAGAGAAATTAAATCTTCAATTTCAGTATTCGTGAAACAAAATTCACGGAGCCTTGAATTCAAATAAATTTAGTTTTTGTTCGACTGGAACATTAGTAAGTAATGATTTAACATCAAAACGAACCATAACGGAACACAGGAGAGGAAAGTTTCTAAGTTTATTGAAAAGAATTTTTTACACAAAACTTCAAACGAATCTGAGGCTTTTCGTTTTTGAGTTGTGCGAGATACATACCTACATACGTATATACGTACGTGCACCACGGTACAGACACAACGGAAAAAATCTCTTCTATATTCATTTTAAATCAGTTTCATTATTTGTTTGGGGAAAAAGAGTCCTTTATTCTGTCCTTATGTACAAATGTCACAAAAAACATGGTTAAATTGCATTCGACGTTCAAAATGGAAAATGGATGTGATAAGAAGAAAAATAATTTATCATATAATTTAATGGGAATAATAGATAAAATAATTTTATTTACAGAACTCATTTACAACTTAATATTGTGAATAATAAAAGCTTAGAATGCCTAAAAAAAGAATTCTATTAATTTCTCTACATTGTCAAATTGTAAAAGCCATTTTATTTTTAAATTTATCACGGGCTTCCCCAATCTTTTATTATTTTCTATATAAAATTGTAGATGAATTCTCTAAATAAAATTGTTTAATATATTATGCTCATTGTATTACATGATAAGTTATTTTTCTGCTTTTAGTACATTAATTGTCATTTCTATTTTAAATAAAAGTTTATTGCATAAAAAATATTTTGAGCCCAAAGGGCGTTAGACCAGAAAGGCTATGAATTTCGTTTTGGCATTTTGCGTTGGAAACTTTAAATGTCGGTTCACTTTTCAAACTGTTGCAACCTAACATTACAGCACTGTATTACATTTAAAGAAATTAAATTATGAAGAATCTGCATAAATGTATGTTTGTTTCTCGCAATGTGATAAAACGAGGTACCTAGAGCCATCAAAGTTTGAATAAGTGCGTCTCTCCTGAATATGGGCTTCTAGAAGCCCAAATTTGGAATTCGTTTTATTAACTTTTACATATTTTGAAAAACTTTAACGAATTTTTGATTAACAAACTCAAGGATTTAAAAGCGATGGCAACATTGTACAGAAAAAGCATTTTTATCTCCAGGGCGTGAGAATGCGTATCGAAAATTCTAAAGATATGCTCAATTTAAAAATATTTTGCGATATTGCTCTTGAACTGAATTTTATGGCTTAAGTGCGAAGAACGTGATATTTAATAAATAAAGGTAGCACACAAAATGTTAAAAAAACGCTCCTTTGGACGCAATTGAAATTTTTTTAATTGTATATATTTTCCTTCGCATTGGCCAATAGGAAAGTAAACTGTGTTTATTTCTTTAAACTAATATTGCTGAATTTCTGTGACATTTACATATAAAAATAAGACAGAAATCAACTCTTCGCTTTTTTTACTTTTCTTAAAGTTTCGACTGCAAAAGTACTTTTCTATACGAATTTAATCGCACAGAAATTGTTTTTTTCGAGTTCCAAAAAGTGTTTGCATATATTATATAAATAACTAAACATAATATGCCTAATTTATAATATACCTAAGTATAATATGTGTTTAATTTTTAGTCAAGATGACAAATTCTGTAAACACATGTATATTTCAGATTATGAAGTAAATAATAAGTACAAGAAAGTAAAAAACTTGTAGAGACATTAGGTCATTTCGAAGCAGGTGAGATGAAAAATGAGCAATTTCTTCGCCACGACTCGGACCACGGATCTCTCGAATACGCTTCGGGGGTACTGACCACTACACCAAGAAGGTATGCTAAGAAGGAGGGAGAAATACCTTATATACTTCCCCTTTTAAAGGGCAATTGGGGATTAGGGGACCCACTCGCCAAATCCTTGTGGTGGAGAATCATCACTCACCATCTCTTGTTTTTAGTTCGGGCGCCACTGTAGGAACATTGGGTAATTTTCAAGCAGGAGAGATGAAAAATGAACAATACCATCGCCTGGACTCGAAGCAAGAACCTCTCGAACACGCGTCGAGCGTGCTGACCATTACACCACGAATGCATGCTAAGAAGGCAGGAGAAATTCCTTATAAGCTAATACATTAACATTTGAGATTTAAACAAATTTGAGGCTTTAAAAATTAAACATAACAGGTGGAATACAAAGAAAACATCTGCTCAGACTGAATAGTAATTTGAAATAAGGGGAAACGATAGATAGTGAAATATAATGAACATTACATAGTTAGTTCTACCTAAAGAGGGCAAATGCAACATTTGTTTCATGGATCACTTGTATTGCTGGATAATATAGATTTGAGCTTCCTAAGCAAGAAATATTTTAAAGTAAGTTCATTGAGATGTATAGTATTCATTACTATTATTCATAGCTTGATTGAAATTAATCGGAAAAATTCAATTTTAAAATTTTGTAGACACGTTGTTTATAAAAACGGTAGCAGAAGCATATTCTGTTAATAGTGAAAAGGTGTAAATATTTAAAACTCACTGAAGATACCATTAAAAAGTAAATATTATTTTTAACTTGATCATTATATTTCACACTAGTAAACAGCGTTCTGTTATAACTTCAAAGATAATGAAATGATGTGTGACGTGCAGCTTAGCGCAGCTTTCTTTTTGTTTACACACGTTTTTCCCCGAGAGAAATAAAAACAATGACACTTTCATAACAGTTCCACAAATGGGAATTATTTCAATAAAACGGGCAGTGAAAGATATCATTTTACTATATCGAGTGATATATTGTATTATGAAACGTCATGCTTTCCAATGTGTTGGTATGAAAACTTATTTAATACTTTCTTTCGATAAGTATTGTAAAAAGGAAGAGTTATATTTCTTAGCCAATAGAAGGTACCAAGATTTCACTCAGTGTTTAATTCTTTAGAAATGAAGGTTATAAATTCCGAAATATATTCTATTTTCTAACAAAAATTTAAAAATTTTTACTGGTAAAATACTTGCATTTACTGAAATTAATTTTAATGACTCAAAAATTAACAAAAAAAAATATCTAAAATCTTTAAATTAGAATAAAATATCTGAAAGGTTTCATATTTTAAATTACGTTTTTTTAACGTTTTTTAAGATTTTAATTACGTTTTTTCAAAGAGGCGTTTTTTTAACGTTTTGTATGTTACCTTCATTTATTAAATATCATGTTCTTTGCACTTAAACCGTAAAATTCAGTCCAATAGCAATGTCACAAGATAATTTTAAAATGAGCGTTACTTTAGAATATCCAATACACAGTTACGCGCGCTGGAGATAATTTTTTTTTTTTTTTTTTTTTTTTTTTTTTTTTTTTTATCCCGTAGATTGTTGCCATTGCTCGCTTTTAAATTGTTGAGTTTGTGACTGAAAAATTTGTTATGGTTTTACAAAATATGAAATCGATAAAAAACAATTCCAATTTCAAATTTGGAATTTCAAATGCCCATATTCGCAGTAGGATTACGTCATTCAAATTTGGATGGCTATAGGTACCGTTGTTTTATCACAACGTGAGAAACATATACACATTTATGCAGCATATTCTTCATTTTTTAATTTCTCTGAATATAATACAGGGACAATAATATTTGGTGGCAACGATTTGGAAAGTGATACGCCGTTTATAGTGTTCCGACGCAAAATCGCAAAACAAAAACAATAGTCCTTCGGGGACAAAGCTCCTTGAGACTAATAAATAATATAATCACTCTAAGTTTTTTACAGAATTTTCCAGCAAAGTTCTTTAAAACACATGATAATAATTTGTTAATGCTTGCAACGAAAATTAATGCGGTAAAGTAATAAACAAGAAACTTACATATGGCATTCATACTTACCCCAGATGCATTGTTGAGTACTTGATGATACTTCTTAGATTCCAGACTTTCTCCTCTTTAGCTTAGGTTGAAGGAAACGATTTTCAATTCTCTGATCTTTGTAAACACCTGTTAAAACAAGGACTTACATAAACAGCTGTTAAGACTTGCATTTCGTTAAAATAATTATGTGGTGAAACAACGTAAAAATTCTCAAGTGCATGCACAAAAATACTATATCAATAGTAATCCTATACTATACCAATAGTACTATATATCAATAGTACATAATATATAAATAGTTATTTCAAAAATATTTTGTGGATCAAATTTAAAATACAGCGCTACTCTCCAAGCTAGCCATTCATGATGTATCTGCTCTACCTACTGGCTATTCATCTATTCTAGTATAAAATTATTAGTAGCACATCGAAGGTTAGAAACAAGACAGTCAGTTCACGATGAAAGATAATTCATGAGATTTTTTTTCTTCATTTGATACTATAAAGTGTGTTGTTTATCAGTGTAAATAAATCCTTTAAAAATTAATTTAACTATTTCTAATAACATAATATTACAAGAAGTATTATTTTGTATAGAAGCACAACAAATGAAATATATTTTTAATATTACGTAATATATCAATTTCTTTAATTTATTACTTCTGTACACTATCATCGGTACCCAAACTAAAATCGATTGGTGTTAAAGGTTTGTAGTAATAATTGGAATTCTTTCTTTTTATACACATAGTAAAAGCTCAACTATCCGAAAAGCTCGGGAAATTGTTTTTCGATCTAAAAAATTTCAATTAAATAAATTTAAATAATTTTTTTATCTACAATTAAAAAATATAATTATGTAATTATTTATTTATTGTAACTCAAATATCAAAAACTAACATTTAAAATTATATAAGATTTCGAAAAGAATGGAATTCTGTTATAAAAGCCGACATAATTCGTAGACCATGCATATAAATAATGAACTCCTGTAGACCATGAAAGTTGGCAAGAAATTCCGCCAAACTTAACTCATATCATTCCAGCAGAAGTTTAAAGAAAACCATCATTCTCTGTTTAGTTAGATAATTAACAGATATAAGTTACGGATATAGCATATAAAACACTTAAATCGTTTATCATAATTTTTTACGATGCATCGCCATTTCTTATCCGTTTTCAAACAATGTCGCAAAATCGTATCTATTAGCGCATATATTTTTTTTTATCCTGTAACTTTTAAAATACTCAACTATCTACTATGAATGTAGGTCTCAAGTTTTAATCATGTTTTCAAAATGCGAGGAAAAAACGTATAAATAACAGGTATTTCATATCTTTTGTTTACGAACTCTAAACCGGATTATCAAGAATTAATCAGGTTTACTTAAAATTGAGATTTGATTGTGATGGGATGTCAGACTTATCCATTATTGGCCCTAAATCACACTGTTTGCCGAACAGTGTACTTTATAAAGTTTCATAAATCTACCATGTGCTTAACTTCCTTTTGACGGAAGGGGGCATATTCTAAAATATTACTTGAGAGTTTTTTGGTTAGTTGAATGTCGTATAGTCTGGATTTTACTGTATGTTATTCAATAGTAATATATATATATATATATATATATACAGGGTAGTTCAAAACTATATGTCGAAAATGTAAAGGCAGGTAGAGGGGATCTGAATAAGCAGATTTCGTATGGGAATGTGCGTGTGTGGTAATGCCGCATTAAAGCGCTAGCACGTAAAGCAGTATGAATCACAGGAAACTGAAACGCAAGAAAAAAGAAAAAAATATTAAAAGTTTACAATAGGTGCCTGAAAGAGTGGCCACCAACAGCGATACAAGATTCACAGTGACGACACATGGATCGGAGTACATCAGAAAAGACATCAGGCATGTCGAGCATATGTCCAGCAGCAACAAGATCTTCTGCAGATGTGACGGGACTCCCGTACACGAGACCTTTAATATGATCCCCTCCCAAAAAAAAGAAATCCAAGCATATTAAATCAGGAGAACGCGGTGGCCAGGGAACTGGCCCTCCCCGTCCTATACAATGTGGGCCGTAGACGGCTTCCATGTGATTCCGGACGTTCAGGCTGAAGTGAACTGAGGCTCCATCATGCTGGAACCACATTCGTATGCAAACAGCTGAAGGAACATCGACCAAAAATTCAAGTAAGTCTTCCTGTACATTCTTTGAGCAGTTAATTCATTTCCTTGTGCAACCCCATGCATGAAATGCATGTCGGTAAGCTCCACATTGGTGTAACGATGTATGCTGCTCGAGATCCGTGCGGAAAATGAAGAATCCAACTAGCGCTGCGCTTTTATACGCCGTACTAGCTCTCTCTGGCAGCTCAACACTGCATTACCGCACACACATTCCTATACCAAATCTGCTTATTTAGGTCCTCTCTACCTTTCTTTGTATTTTTACTTCCTTGTACGAAGTAAAAAGGAAGTATTGTAATCTCGAAAAGTTTCAGACAGCATATTTCAAAGAAAATATCCATTTTGACCGCTATCGAATGCAATTTAACGATGTTTTTGCGTGATATCTGTACGTAAGGATAGAATAAAAGACTCTATTCCTCCAAAAAAATTATAAAACTGCTTTAAAATGAATTCTGAAGATAATTTTTCGTGGCGTCTGTACGAACGTATATACGTATGTATCTCGCATATCTGAAAAACGAGTAGCGTCAGAACGTTGAAATTTTGTATAAAGGACTGCTATAACATGTAGATGTGCACCTCGTATTTTGGTTGCAATCGGCCGCGCCAAACGTATATAAATATATTTATATATCTATCCACTCTGTTACCCGGCTCAGTGATCTCAGTTTCTTTACTCTTATATGTTCGTAAATTGTACATTTTTTGCTTTAAAAATGATTGAATTATGTTGTTTTTATCTTCCCGTTAAGGTTTTTATGCCTTTAGTAAATCTGAGTGCAATACTTTTAGAATTATCAACAATTTTAAAGTTGTTTAAGTGCCGCTAAGCCTTTTTTTACGGCGGCCATTGATTGTTTACATTTGAAACAGTAGACTAGTTTATTTCTTGCTAATCTAGAGAAACTTAGCTTCGCAACAACAAAGATAACGCCTTCATTTATTATTGCCAACTAAATCATGGTTAATCCTTTATGGAATATCTATATTAAAATTTATAAATATCTATATTAAAATTTACTTCGTAATTTTTAATATAGATATTTTGAGTTTTTATGTATTTTTGCCTTCTCGCGAAGTGGTAACTGAATTAATTGAATGAGAAATACTCAATCGTCTGGGAAAAAAAAAATTTTTTTGTTTTGTTTTTTGTTTTGTTTGCTTAATTTCTTTTATACATCATTCTAGCTTTATTATAGTATTTGAATAGAACATGTGGCAACGATTAGACAATTCTATTCTTTAAATGATATAAATTTTGTGCATTATGAGTTATAATATGAACGAAATATTATACTGTTAAGTGAACCTGGCGCCAGAGTGTCGCTATGGTAAACAAATACTAGCGTGAATTTTAAAGAATGCATTTATTCTATTGTGGTTTATGTGCTGTCGGCGAAGTAGATTTAATTCAATCCTATACGTTTAAATGAAATGCAAGAAAAAATGCGTATAATTTAATATTCCGTACAAGGAAGTCATGTGGTGTACACATCAGATTTTTTATATATAGTTTTGAACCACACTGTATATATGTAGGGAGAGAGAGTTTTGTACAATTTTATGCGCTGAAATTCACAAACAAATACTAGACCTTTTTAAGCAAAAATCCCTAATGAGATGAATTTAAATTTCATTCACAGTCAAAAGTTAATTTTAGGAGTTGGTAACAATTGATGAGTTACCTTGCGTAATAATCGTCATCTGTCCCAAAACGAGGAATTTAAATATCATACTGATATCATAGCTCATTTTTGATGGTGAAGAAATTTGTCAAACAATAGTAAAGCTTTATGGGGCAAATTTTTCTATTATCAAATGCAGGGTGTCTACAAGGTTTCTAAACTACTTTAACAGCTTATTGTATGAGAATGGTACTTACACCTTTGGTAATGATCACACTTTCACAAGGAAAGTTCAATGTTTTAGTAACAAGCGAAGCAAGTAACACACTCTCGACATGGGTACCTTTCGTTGTATGTTTTGACGGTCCTCTATCTGCAGGCAATTGCAATTAAGGAATGCATCTAGGTAGACTCTGTCTTTTATTGTTTATTCATGAAAGAAAAATAGTCCTAAAATCTTGTCATTCAGCTTTCGGCACCAAATATCCAGTTTAAGCTGCCACGGTTCAATCCCCACGTAACAAGTGTATTTTTGGATCCCCAAAACTTCACATTATGTGTATATTGAATAAAAACAAAGTGTTAGGAAAAAACTTTGATATACGTGTAATAACACCACAAAAATTTTCAGAACTACTTCGTACAAGGTACTTATAAAAAACTTTGATATACGTGTAATAACACCACAAAAATTTTCAGAACTACTTCGTACAAGGTACTTATAATAAAAAGGTGAAATTGTTCAGAGCCTCATGGACACCAGCCTTAACGCATGATTTCCTCCTTCCATGTAAAAACCGATTGAAACATTCAAATCTTTCAATTTGGTATCCTATGGATAGGTCGCGTTGTTCGTAATTCTTTAAATATAAGGATTTTACTATGCCATTTGGTTAAAATACCATCGGAATTTCCTGTACCATGCCAAGATTTCCTTCCTCTTTGCCTAAAACTAAACAAGGAGGTCAGAAGTTTTCAAAGGATATCATCCATAGTTTTTATAATGATAAATTACATAAAAGTAGCCTTCCATTAAAAACGCTGTGCTGTCTGTAGGAGAGGCAAGCGAACGTTCAGAGGATCCAGTTACCACTGGAAGATCTGTATGATTTAGGAATAGGATAGAAAACAGATCATAATGATTAGAGGCAGCTGGATTCTTCTCAGCTGTTTTTATGATAAGTTGGTTGAGGTATTAAAGTGGTGACAGGGTTTACAGTTTTAGAAATTTTGCACTGATAAACTAGTCATAAGCATCAACTAAGCTGATTAAATAGCCAAAAGAGTACTCCTGAATCCATCTAAGCCATAGGCACT